ATGTCGAATGATTCCTTGGTCTAACATTTTTGATATTTGCGTTTTAACTTCGTCTTTGTGGATTTGAGGATAACGGTAAGACTTTACGAAAGTGGGTTTTTCTGATTTTGTGTCGATAGTGTGTTTGATTTCATTAGTAAAGGTCAATTTGTCGCCCTCTAGATAGAAAATATCTGAATAGTCTAAACAAAGTTCAGTAATAAGTTCCGATTCTTGTTCGTTTAAGTGTTCTAAACGAAGTTGGTTTTTAATTTCTGAAACTCTATTCGGTTGTAAGTTAAAATTACATTCGTTTAAATTATTGATTGAAAAATTTTGAATGGGTTCGAGTTTCAAGTCAGAAAAGTTTATAGTTTTTGGCATCGCGTTAGCGTTTAAAACTGATGTTAAAAATTCACCATTAGAGTTGATTTTGACTAAAGCATTAGGTAGACGTACTTTATCAATTTCCGTAGCTTCTAAAATAGCTTCGGTATTAGATAAATTACATTTAAGTTTGCAAATTTGTTCCGTACGCGGTTCTAATGTGATTAAATTTGTAAAATTTGAATTTGAGGATACGTTTTCAGCGGGTGAATCTTCCTCTACTTTAATCAAAGGTATAGTTTTAAAATTTGTAATTAATTGTCTGTCTTTTAGGTCCACTATGCACTGATAATGTTCTAAAAAGTCAGATCCAAGTAAACCGTCAAAGTCAATGTCAATGTTGCAAATGTATACTTTATGAGGGTCTTTTACATTGAATGGAACCAGAGTGGATTCGTTAATGTGGATTTTTTGGTTAGTAATTCCTTGAATAACTACATTTTCTTGGGATCTATGGGGAAAGTTTTGACAAATGTTGGGTTTAAAGATTGATAAGCCTGCTCCGGTGTCAATTAAAAATTTAAATGTGTTTGAAGCGTCCTTTATGTAATAGAGATTTTTTGAATTTACTGAAAGTAAGGGACTTACAGGAAGTTTTGTTCCGGGAAGTTGAGGTTGGGATCGAAACTGTCCATGTTTAGTGTTTGAATTTGGGATGTTATTTCCAAAATATCTTGATTCAGAGGGTCTGTCTGGAAACTGGGTTCCAAGGGAAAATCCTGGTTTTGTTCCATTTCTGTTGGGAAATCTAATTGAGGTTGATCTTGGTAATATTGCTCATCATTGGGTAAGTAAAAGTAATTTTGTTCGTCAGTGTCGTAATACTGTTCGTAGGAGTCTGAATTGTTGTAATTCAGATGATGGGTTTTTGCGGGGTATTTATTAAAATTTGGATTGGGTTGAATGGCACTTGGCCTGGGAGATCCTATATTGGGATTTGGCCTAATGACAGGTGGGCGATTTTGAAAGTTCGGATTCTGTGAAGTATTTTGTTGTTGGTAAAATGGTCTTTGTTGAGGATTTTGAAATGGTTGTTGAGGGCGAAATTGGTTTTGATTGTTATGTTGGAAATTTGAAAAGGTTTGAGGGGTTGTCATTCTTTGTCTACATTCGTTATTCGAATGTCCGGTTCGTTTACAAATTGAACAGTTTTTTATTGTCTGATTTGGATTTTGTTTACGAGGTGGTATTGCGGTTTAGGTTAAATTTTTGATTTTCAAAATAATTTAATTGGAGTTTGCGTCTAATTCTATTGGTAGCAGTTAAAATGTCTGGAGGGTTACTAGCTCTAACAATTTGACCAATTTTCGGGTCAAGTCCGGCAAGTAAAGTATTCAAAGCCATTGATTCGACAAGTAGGGTCTGAGCGGCTTTTTCTTCCGCTGTAAGGGTTTGTTTGTTAATGGAAGCGTATAACTTTGCTTCGTGCGTTTGTAAACGAGCAACAAAGGTTAAAGGAGATTCGTTAGAAGATTGTTTTAATCTTTGCAGATCTTGAATTAAAGAGGTGAGATCGCGTGTGTCACCAAAATGATTTTCAAGCAAGGTTTTAATTTCTTGCCAGGTTTTAGGTTCGCGAGAATTTATAAGTTCAGTTTAAGAAGTATTTGGTTACCATCGTACTCCGGTACGACTGAAAATATTTCGCTTAATTTATAAGGTTCTACCGCACCAGCGGCAGCAGCAGCATTGCCTGCGTTATTTGGGTTATTTTGAGGCATTCTGCTTGATCTTGTTCTTGGCATAAAATTAAAATAGGTTAAGGGAAATTGTTATTGGGAAAGATTTCTGATAAAAGAAATGTTCTTAAAATTACGATAATCGAATGATTTGTTAAAATCGCGAAAAATAAAAATAATAACGTAATGATTCTTACAGTAGTTTGTCCATAGATGAAATCCTCCTTCGTGAGCCTTGCTACGCCAGGTGAGTGTATACGTGTTCCCAACGCCGAAGAGACCGTCTATTGGATTCTTGACTGTATTTTTCTTGTTTTCTTCAATTTTCTTAAATTCTTGTGGGTGCACGTAGTTTTTCCTTTTAAAGGTTTGGGAACCACCACGTCCAGTTAGTTTCCTTGTTCTAAACGTGTGAAAGGCATCCTACCGACTGCGCCAATTTTTATCTTCTTGTTATTAAAATTCACTTTTTAAAAAAAGCACAAATTTATTTAAACACAAAAATTACAATATAAAATTATTAAGTACTTAATGTTACAAAACTGAGTATAATACTAAACTAACAAAGCAAAAACATTCCTATTTATAAGTTTTTAAAATATGTTGTATGTGTTGTCTCAGGGTTCTCATCGTTGAATAAATGAAGAGTTGCATTTCCCAGAGAATTTCATACCTTGTTATCTTCTCCGATTAGATAACGAAATATGACTCTCGTGAAGTATATGGTGTCATCATTTTATCACATATAACATATATATATATATATTTAAACTAAACAATTTTTAGCCCTTCATTATTATTTTTAAAAGTAAGTAGTTATGTCAGGTTTATATGACATTAATAGCTGGAAGTTTGTGGGTAAGCGACGCAGGAGCGAACCCATAATCCAGTGAGACTAGTAAAGATTAATTGCAAAGCGTGGCATGTACAAACTTTTATTTTCACCTTTAGATAACGATTTTTAAATTTAAATATTTCAATTAATGTGTCAAATGTGTCATTTCATTTCATAAATTGCTTTTTCTACAAGCCTGTAAAACTTTACAGGTCTTTTATACAAGCCCGTAAAATATTACAGGTCTGTTCTCATAATGTATCGTTTACTTGGATACAAAAACAACAAAATTAACCTATAAAGTGTCATTTACTAAGAAGGTGGAAATAAAATTATGAAATAAAATATTGGTAGATTGTACTTGCTACAATAATGCATTTGACTAACTTTTCTTTTCTCTATGGTTTGGACCAGGGTGGAAGAAGAAGGTGATATAGCTCCTATCTCTACAGTACAGATAAGTCAGTATTTCGTTCGTTGTTCGTTAGATGGCGAGTCAACTAAGAACCTAAGGTTTTACCAACGAAATCCATATATTCTATAACAACTTAACTTTTAACAACAAATTATAAGATAACGAAAACCCAAGGAGAGTCTTCTACCCTCCTTAACGAAAATTACATATTTTCTTACAGCATTATTATAATAATTTGAAGAACGATTGGCAATACTGTAGTATTGCCAACTGTTCTGCCAAAATGCACAGTCGCCACAAACGCACAAAAGTAACGTTGAAATGGTTTTATTTTAATTAAGCTTAGTGGTCTATTCTTAATCTATGCAATTTTACTAAAAATGGGAAAAGTTTGTTGTGCACCGGGATTAAAACAGGTTCCAAGTCAATGTGCCATCTATTCAGAATTTTAACAAATACTGAGTTATTTGGCCGCTTTCCGGGATAGTGATGTCTCACCTCCTTCTTCCACCCTGATTTGGACCAAAAAACATAATTATGATTTATTAAATTAAAAATAAAATCCAGTAAATTAAAGTTACAAAACTAGTTTTCGTCCCTGGGATAAAACAATTTTTTTTACTTTTAATATAATATTTTTTAAACAAAAAAATAAAGTATTGTAGAAAAATGAATTATTGATTTACTGCTAAAAGGTTGATTGTTTATAAAAAATAAACAAGTGAATATTTTTTTATAAAATGTATGTGCAGTAATTGCCGTTATAGGGACTTTGTTTTGAAAAAAAATTTTATAAAAATCTGACTCTTGGACCAAGAGTCTTGGTAACATCAGGGTCTACTTTCGGAATAATTTAAAAAAAGTTTATTTTTGATTTAATTTTTTCCATTATAAATTAAATGGCCCAATAACATACAAATGTATTTTCTCTAAGTCGATTTGTCATCTGACTGTTTGAGCTAGAGGGAGTTAAACTTAGTGGGAGTACTTATGTAAAAGTAAAGTAAATTAAAATGAGTTCAAGTAACATGTTTAAATTGGAGGAAAACTCGACTCAAAGGAATGCTGACTTGGAGGAAGTCAACATTTACTGTACAGGGTGTCCGTTTTTCGAGGCTAAGCATCTCTATTATCTTCTCTCAGAGGGTTTGAAACATGGCAAACAGATTTTGGCTAATTTGAATTCCTCTTGAAAATTGCTTTAATAATGTCTGAATTAGAAAAAGCTACCTTCAACCGTATTTGAAATAAAAAATTAAAATATAAATTAAAAATTCTCATTTTTACGATATCTTTAAAACTAAAAATGATAAGTCAAATTTCTTTTTAGATTATTGATTGGTATGAAAATGTGCTTTTTCATTATTTAACCAACTATATTTCTCTAATTATAAGCAAGATACCCATGCTTATCGTCGAAAAACGGATATATGTAAATGAAATAAAATGGCAATTTTTTGTTTCTTAATACAGGCTTAAATTGACATCCCTATAGCTAGCTTAATTTGACATTCATAAGAAAGTTATAGCTAGTTAACATTTTTTGTTTCAAAACATTCTTGGATTAAGAAGTTTGCAATGATAATTTATATCTAATTTTCTTTAGTATTTGTTGACTTTACAAACGACCTTAGACCAAAGATTGGGAAGATGTAGCAACTTTTTGTAATTTTAATAATTTTTACATTTGTTATTTTTTTTACAGCCATTAACACAATAAACGACCTAGTATGTCAAGGTCATTACCAAATAGCGTGCACTCGTTATTTTGAGGCTACACACAACCAAGCCCCCCAAAATACAATAAGCCACCCAAATCAGTATTTTGAGGAGAGCAAAAACATTGGAAAAGAGAATAAGGCACCCAAAAAAAATTAAATAGTGTTTATATTATATGCCAAAAAAACAATTAAATATATTTTTTAATAAATATTGACAGTTATTACTTTATAATTCCTCATGGGTCACCACACTAACATCTATACCGTCTATAGTTTCGTATTTTATCTCGAACGCGACATTGTGGGCATATTTCATGTGTTCTCTAGCGTAATTTTTGTCGGGGAACTTTTTATCACAAACTAAGCACATTTCTGTACACTGTGGGGCGTAGTAGTTCGTTTGCAACGTTTGCGCATCGCAGTGAGCCGCGGTGGGCGAAACTTCTGCCTCTGATTGGCTGTGGTGCACCTTGGCAACGTGCGCGCGCAGCATCTTGACGATTTTGTATTGTTTTCCGCACTGTGGGCAGGTGTGACGTTTTTGGGGGTCGTTTGAGGTCAATCTGTCGTCTTTGTTGAGTTTATAGAGTTGTTCTATGTTGAAGAGGTCTTTTTTTGTTAATAATTGGATTCTGTCGAAATTGTTTACGCCGATGTTATGACGTACGTTGTTTATGAGATCGTCAAAAGGGATTTTTTGCGATATTTGTTGAGCCAAAAAATTTCTATCAGATTTTTTTAATGGTATTCGTTTTAAATCCATTGTGTGTCCCACGTGAGTTTCGACATACTCTACAAAAACTTCGCCGTTGTTTTTACTGTATGTAGCCTGTATTCTAGCTGGACAAACACCATCTATCTTGTTACTACCCAATTGTTTTAATCTACGAATATTTTTTCCGGCGTTTTTGTAAAAGCCATCCCTATGGCACCTATAGTAATTAGTATCTTTCTCATTGTTTTTATGAAATGAACCCTTGACAAACCTTGACACTGTCTCTTTTTCCACCTCTTCTTTCCATCGCTCAAATTCTTCAAAATTTACAAATGTTATTTTTTTTGTGATAATTTCAATCTGATGATAATTACTGTAATGATTCACAACGTTATCACGCGTATCTTGAAAATAATTGCACAAAACGCATTTAACAATTTTTTTCTTCCGTATAGCGTTCGGTATACACCTCCTAACATGGCGATTTAAATTCCACTTTGAAGTAAAATTTTGCTGACAGTTTTCACAAGAAAACTGCAATTTTACCGTATTCGCCTTATCGGCATGCTTATTATTCACGTGTCGCTTCAAATTTCTTGAATTCGAGAACATCTTCTCGCAAAATTTACATTTTAAACTTTCCCCATTATTTTTTTGCCTAAAAAATAAATTTTGAATTAGACCCCTTCTAAAGTGTGTCCCCGGATAGGTGAAACGACTCTTGTAAAATCCAACAAAAAAAAACATAATTTCAATTTTGAAAAATCAAGTACCTATGCCCTGTAAATATTAAAAAAACTATTTTTTTTTCAAGCGGCCATGATATACAACCGTATATGCATGTATAGAGATAGTTCAAGTGCGTCCTTTTCAAAAGCGGCAGACAAAAAACTCAAAAAGCCTAGGGATAGAAGTAAATCCATAGGTGACTCAATAGACGTCAAATAATAAAATTAATTTAGCATTTCATACAAAGCAATCACGATGTATTAATTATAATCCCACGGAATATTTAGTGATTATTTATTAAATTTTAATTGAACGAAATAAAGAACAACCAGTTTATTAGTATAATATTATGATGATAGACGAGTCGCCAATGTCGGAACTTAAAACAAATGTCAGTACGTCAAAAATAATTCAAGCGCAGCATTTTGACAGAGCAGTGTTTAATAAACACTGTTTATTTTTAGTTTAGGATATTTATTGGCAATGTAAGTAAGGGTTATAAGTTTTTTTTAGTTTTTATCAATAATTTCTAATGCTTTTAGCCAAAATTTTATCCCACATGAGTGAAGAGTAAATAAAATAATTATACTGCTTATCCTATTTATATTACGCCCTTGAAAAAAAAAATTGTATGTTATTTGGAGTAGAAGCTCTTTTTGTACTTTGTACAGTTGCCTGCCTCAGCTACGCTTTGGCAGTCATTCTCTGTACTCACCACAAAAAGAGTCACTTCTACTCCTTATAACATAATCTACTAAAGTGCCTTTCATATGGGATATACGACAAAATATTATAAAAAAAACTTGTTTAGAATTAACATTTAGGAACCTATACCAAACTTCAAAATAATTGGCCAACTTTGATTCTTATTTTAACTTTTTTTGCAATGTTTTGTTCATTGTACCTAAAAAAGTTGGCCAAGAATTTTGAAATTTGGTATAGGTTCCTAATAGTCCAGTCATCTTAGCATTTCACCTCAGAATCTAACGGAATAAGCTGAATTTTTTTACAAACCTTTATTTTAGCATTGCAAATGTTGTCTCAAAAGTCACATATGAAAACGTGTGAGCGGCCTTAGATATTCAAGGTCAAAGGTCGCAAAAATCAATTTTTTGAGAATATCTCCTTTTCTCTGCCTCCTATCGTATTTGCATTTATTATACAAGTTGTAGAGAATAAAATTCTCTAGAAATTTTGTTTAAATATTTTTTTTATACGTCTAATCGTTTTTGAGATAGAGGGCGCAGAGTGTGGAGCGCTCAGCCATACGTACCTTTAGCGCAAGGTAAATCATGAATCCCAATCTATTATACCGTTTTTTAATTAATTATTAAATATTACTTAAATAACAATTTAAAACCTTATATTTATTTTTATATATTTTTTTAAAACAGATAGTCATTAAATATTACTTACTTTTGACATACAAATAATTAAATAATGAAGTGAATCATTCTAAATATATTCTAATGTTATTCTAATTAATGATAAATGCATTTTAAGAAGAAAAGACATTAAATGAATTTGCCTGGTCATCTCTTGGATCCAGATATTGCTTTTAAAATAACAGACCTGGAAATACTATAGCGGGCTTGCTATAAATAAAAAGGTTAGGTATACCTATATTTAAAGCAAGTTGTGACCCTAGGTATAGGTCTAGGGTTGTGACAGATAATATTCGTAATATTTTAAAGGTTAACATGGCTGATTTGTGTTTTATTTGTAATAAGTTACTTTCTGAAGGTGATTCTGTGACTTTTGTGCGCGGTATAAAGACTTTAAAAGAAGCAATTATTGAGAGAAATAAACATAAACTACCTAAATACTTTGACTTTTGTGAACGTTCATATTGAGTGTCGAAAATTGTACGCTATAGCGTGCTATAGTAAAATTGCAGAAGCAAAACGTCGCCTTGAAGAGACTGAACCTTCAATATTTTGCTTATTTTGTGGAGAAGTCGCAAATGAGGCAACAAAGGCAAAAAAATCTGCAAAGTACAAACGCGTTATAAGTAAGTTTTTGAAGATATGACAATTAATGTCAATGATAACGAGGAGAGTGATGATGAGAATGAGTCTGAAATTGCTGGCCAATCTGAAAAAGATGAGGATGAAGAAGATAAAGATTAATAATAATAATAATAATAATTATAATATTGATATAAATAAAAACATTTTTTCCTACTACGATCCAATTATCCTTCATTAAAATTAAATTAAAATATAAGATATATATGAAGATAAAATATATTTGATTTAAAATAAAAATAAATATAAGTATAAGGTATTAAATTTTTATTTTAGTAATATTTATTATATTATTAATTAAAAAAAAACGGTATAATAGATTGGGATTCACGATTTACTTTGCGCTAAAGGTACGTATGGCTGAGCGCTTCACACTCTGCGCCCTCTATTTCAAAAACGGTTCGACGTATAAAAAAAATTTGTAAACAAAATTTGTAGAGAATTTTATTCTCTACAACTTTTATAATAAATGCAAATACGATAGGAGGCAGAGAAAACGAGATATTCTTAAAAAACTGATTTTTGCGACCTTTGACCTTGAATATCTAAGGCCGCTCACAAGTTGGCATATGTGACTTTTGAGACAACATTTGTAATGTTAAAATAAAGGTTTTCACAAAAATTCGGCTTATTCCGTTAGATTCCGAGGTTGATCCCTTTTTTTGACTAAGATTACTGTACTATAAATGTTAATTCTAAACAATTTTTTGTCATATATCCTATATGAAAGACACTTTACCTACACAAAAGGAAGTTTTTTTAATATCTCCAGGGCATACTTGATTTATCAAAATTAAAATTATGTTGAAAATTAATCTTTTATTAAGCAGGGCTGAACCCCCAAAAATAAAAATTGAATTCAATTTTTTTTTGGCTTTTACAATAGTTGTTTTACCTATCCGGGGACACACTTTATATAGGCTTAAGTCTATGGTTGCGATATCAATGGCATGGCACTAGGGATGCACCGGATTTGATTTTGGCCGGATTACCGGACGCAGTAATCCGGCGTCATCGGCCGGATTAACTCCGGCCGGATTTTGGCGGATTTCGCCGGAGTCGGCCGGATATTACAGTGTTTTTACACAGGCAGGTGCAGTTTCTGTTTCATTATTATGCAAATCTTGCACTTAGTTACCAATTACGTGTTGATGTGGTATGTGGGGATCCTGTTCCCGAACAGGCAACCATGTAAAGTAAATTAACATTTGTCTTTTAAAACAAGGAGAAAAATTGACAGACCTTGCATTTTACGCATGCATTCTAGTCGTATTAAAAATAAATAAATGTGTTTATATTTTAGGTACCTGCCCACCTTATAAGTAATCATTATTAGGTGGCGCATTGTCTTGTGTAATTTTACACCAGGTTTTTGTCATGTACTACTTCAAGAACCATTTTGCAAAAGTTTCCATAGCAACTTTTTCGTACTATTACAAAAAAAGAATTATTTTACGGACTCAAATGAGTTCGTTAAATAGCTATTTTAGGGGGAAAAACAAAAACAAATATATTTATCAATAAATAAAAGTTTTTAAAGCCAATAATATATTAAAATGTATATCTTTATAAAACGTTTAAAAAAATAATAAATAAACTGCGCACCACTCAATGTGTCGCGACCAAAAAGTTCGTCCTTTTTCAAAACGACATAACTTTTTTGTTTCTTGAACGATTTTATTTTGGTCTGTGATGTCTGCTAACCCCATCCTCTGGCAATTTATGCTATAGATATTAAGCATACGGTTCTTCAAGTAAATTTCCTACAGGGTGATATGTAAAACGGTGAAAAATTTCAATAACTTTATCCAAGCCCCGTTTGTAAAACAATAATTTTTTTTACGTTTTTACTTTGAAATAATGAAGTATTATGTGTTACCTTGAAACGTTTTTCAAATTTTTCGAATTGGAATGTTAGCAACGAAAATATGATTTTTTTTCCAAAAGAGTACATTTAAGGCTTTTTGGTAGGCAATATATTCAGTCTTTTTAAGAACAAGAAAATAGGATGGTAAAAGATTGTTCCTTGAATAATTCTGAACAAGCGACAAGCAACAAACTTCCATTATTTTCAGAGGGCCTAAGCTAAGACCACTTTTTGAAAATGACATTTTTGTGAAAGTTTGCAAAAACTAAACCTAAACCGATAATTACGTTCGTGACATGTTTTCTTTACAATTTTGACCTCCTGATTGTGATTCAGTTGTCAAGTTTAAGATTCAGATAAAACCAAAAGCATAAAAATCAAAATTCGAAAACAATTCCCTGTTGTTAAATGTCTTAATAAAATCCGATTGCTGTCGTGTTTCTTGCATATTTATGATGAAAATGCCATTTGGGTATTAATTTTTTGGGCGAAATTACTGTAATTTGTTTGAGTGGTTAGGATAATGTTACATAACTTACATTTACATTGCGCAGTAGTGATAACATCATTGATAAGTACCCACCTAATTTATAATAAAATTAAATAAAAATATTTTTGTTCATTTTTGAAAATTGTATGGGTAGATATAATCATTATCAAAACTTCAACATTCAACAGAAAAATGTAACAAACAATAACAATAATACCTTTCAATATTTCGTTGGCCCTCCCCTAAGCCGTAATAATTCGTTAACCCTCCTGGGCATTCCCTCGACCAAATTCCTTAGAAATTTCTGGGGTACCCCATTCTTCCTGAATAGCATTTACCAATTCATCCAAATTTTTCGTGCCTCCTTCCCCCTCTTTCATCTTCAATTTTATCCTGCTCCACACATGTTCAATAGAATTCATATCCGGAGACAAAGGTGGCCAATTCATTTTCTCAATATGGTGGTCCCTTAAATACTCATTTACGATATGTAAAAAAACAGTAAAAACCAGCAATCGGATTTTATTGACACATTTAACAGCCGGGAATTGTTTTCGAATCTTGATTCTTAGTGATTTTGGTTTTATCTGAAAATTAAATTTGACAACTGAATCACAATCAGGAGGTCAAAATTATGAAGAAAACATTTTACGAAAGTAAATATCGGTTTAGGTTTAGTTTTTGCAAACTTTCACAAAAATGTCATTTTCAAAAAGTGGTCTTAGCTTAGGCCCTCTGAAAATAATGGAAGTATGTTGCTTGTCGCTTGTTCAGAATTATTTAAGGAACAATCTTTCACCATCTTATCTTCTTGTTCCTAAAAAAACTGAGTGTATTGCCTAAAAAAAGCCTTAAATGTACTCTTTTGGAAAAAAAATCATATTTTCGTTGCTAAGATTCCAATTCGAAAAATTTGAAAAACGTTTCAAGGTAACACATAATACTTCATTATTTCAAAGTAAAAACCAAAAAAAATTTATTTTTTTACAAACGGGGCTTGGATAAAGTTATTAAAATTTTTCACCGTTTAACATATCACCCTGTAGGAAGTTTACTTGACCAACCGTGAGCTTCATATCTATAGCATAAATTGCCAGAGGATGAGGCTAGCAGACATTACAAACCAAAATTAAATCGTTCAAGAAACAAAAAAGTTATGTCGATTTGAAAAAGAACGAACTTTTTGGTCGCGACACATTGAGTGGTGCGCAGTTTAGGTAACATAAAAATAAATAAATAATATTTATTAATATACCCAATCTAAAAGTTATAACAATTAAAAAACATAGGTACAATAATTATAATAGGTATAATACAACCACTGCGCATACGTACGGCGTCTGTTGCGCATAGATACGATCACCTGTTAACTGCGCATAGCCGATTTCTTCCCGAGAAAGGTGAACAACTCGAATTTTTGCACTATAACTTAAGGACTTCGTTATCTTATAAGAATATATATATATTTTTTTTATAATAAACATTTTAAAAAATATTTTATTTTTAATTTAAAAAATCCGGCCACAATCCGGCCGTTGTTGCCGGATCAGTTTAAAAATTTGGCCGGAGCCGGATATGCTGCCGCATAGGCCGGATCGGCCGGAGGCAGTAGGTGGGCAGTAACTCCGGTGCATCCCTACATGGCACCATCTACCACTAAGTAACTTTTTATTTATTTATTTATTGATACTCTTACAAACACAATATACAAGCTTTATAGTCATTATACAACAGTTATGTTTTACAGTTAACTGTCCAAAACCGATTTGAAGTTTTAAAATGAAATTTTAAAAAATGTCCTACTTTTTTAAAATGTCAAAAATATTTTTAAAACTGTGTTATTGTGAAAAGTTTCTTGTCAAATTTACATATTTTGAGTAATAATAAAAAAAAAATAGACTCCATCTATATACCCTTTAGTCATGCCATCATTTTGGTTACAATAACAATGCATTTATGCACTACTTTTAAAAGTTTTACGATTAAATTAAAAACCAAGAAATGTTTTTAACCGAATTTTAGTATGTTTTTTGTTTTCTAATGGTAAATTATTGTCTTTTATATAAAAAACTCACTCCTCATTGTTGTTCCTGTGATATTTCATGTGCTTTTTGTAATTTTTCATTTGTGTAAATCGACTTTTGCATACTTCACAGTGATAAGGCTTCACATTTTTCCCCTCCATTTTATGCACATCACTGCAATGTCCCAGGTAATCTTTTAACACAGTAAAACTTTCAGAACATTTCTCGCAAGTTAACATGTTGCCTTCTTCTTTAGGGTCATCCTCAATTTCACTATCAGAGTTGTTATAATCCATTTTTGTGGGTTGATATGTTTCGTCTTCTTCATCGTTATCGGAAAGAATGTCTTTAAAACAATCCTGTAAGGTTTTTATAGTGTCAGATTTGATTTTTCTTGAACACTGGGGTGTAGACGTGTTACGATTCAACTCACTTTCAAAGCATGTTTCTATAAAACCTTCCACAATGTTTAATAATTCTATGCATTTCAAACATATATCGAACTCCTCCAACCATTTCTACAAATTAACAGTTGTTTTACCAAAAAACAAACGTTTTTTAATACTCACAACTTGTCCAACATATTTTTCCAATTTACACATAAAACTTATACCATTTACATCAATTTCCACTAATTTTTTACACTCATTATTACCCTTCATGCAAACGCAACAAATTTGAGGCATTTTTAAGGATTTTTAACGTAGACAGCCAAATTTGACGATCCGACAAATACATAACCTAACATTTATCTAAACACTGACGTTTCTAAGTAAATCAATACAGTAGTTCTAAGGCACCAAAACAACCATAAACGTAAGTCGTGTAGAAAAATACCATCCATGTGAGAAATAATAGACTGATTTTTTTATGAAAACATTTAATTCGTAAATTAAAAAAAAGTTAATATATTATTCGTTATTTTGAGCCATTTGCATTTCCAGCGATAATACGGTGGTTCTTTTTACGAGTTTTAACTCGTCGTTTATAATTTTCGAATCTTCAGATTCTTTAAGTGCAATGTCGAGTTGTTCTGCTGTTTTCTTTAAATTGTTTTCGAGGTTTTCGTTACTTTTCTTTTTTTTAAGCATGTCAGAGAGTTCGTCAATGCCATCTACAATCTCATTAAGGTCTGTTTCCGTTATATTTTGACTTTTGTCTTCTGTTTCTGTAATGTTTACAGTATTTTCTTCGATTTCCTCGTATTCTTCGTATTCTTCGCTTTCCTCACTATTAACTTCTTCCTTTGTATGTTGCAGGTTTTGTTTTTGATCTTGAAAGTATAACGCGTCGATTTTTTTCATTTGTTTTATCAAACGTTCTTCCTCTATGGCGAAATCTTTATCGATATCTTCGTTATCTTCGAAAATTTCCTTTACTCTCTTTATCAACTCGACGTGTTCTTTGTGCAAATCTTCTTTTTTATATTGAACACTTTTTCTCGAATCCACTTCTTTCCCAATTATAACCTCGATTTCTTCATCGTATTTTTTTGTTTTTTTATTGTAATCTTCAAACAACTTATCTTTCTTCATTTTGGATTTTTCGTCCAATTTGGCCAACGATTTTTGTATCATTTCCATAGTTTTGTAAATATTTTTCTTTTGATCTTCGATTGTTAAAACTTCTTTCTTCAAAATTGTATCTTCAGTTTTTTTAGTGTCTTCAATAATTTGCCGTTTGACATCTTCGATGGTTGTTTCTTCTTCTTTGACGTGTATGACGTGTACGATATTGTTTTCTTCTATAATTTCTTCATTACATGTTTTTTCATATATTTCCGTTTTGGTTTCTTTATTTGTATAGTTTTCTTTGTCCATTGTAGTTTTTTTCTCTATATTTTCATTTTCTTCACCTTTGTAAGTTTCCTTCTTCTGCTTCATTATGTTTTCTATATTTTTATCTTCAATGTCGTTCCAAATTTCGAAAAGTTTTTTAATACTGTCATTTCTTTGTTGATTATTTTTATTATTTTCACAGTTATCTTCTATTTTCTTTTCATCTGGAATTTCTTCAGTTTTGAAATTGTTTTCTTCAATTTTCCTGGTTTGCATTTCTTTTATATCGATATGAAAAATTGAATTTTTGTTTTCTTCTTTTTTTTTATTTTCATCTTTTACAGACTTGGTTTGATTTTCTTCATTTGGACATATTTCTTGATTACTTTGAATTTCTTTTTTAACAATTAGGACATTTGTTATACCTTCTCTAAGCATTTTCTTGACATCTGGTACTTCTTCAAGCAACATCATTGGAGACATAATTTCGTGTATCTTCCTCTGAATTTCTTCGTTTCCTTGAAAGTTTCTGGAGGCCGCTAGTATCAACTCTCTACTATTCTGTATTTCCTCATGATATTCAGGATTGTTTTCGATGTATTGGGAATTTTCATCAAGAAGATCATAACGAGTTTCTTCTGGTTCTTGGTCAAAGGAAGCTTGTGCTTCTTTTGTTCGCAGTCGTTTTAAGTATTTTGTGAACGAAATTTCTGCTAGATCCAGTTCATCTTCAAAAATAGTTGGTTGAGGTTGGGTTTCTTCAGTTTTACTTGGTTTTTGATGTATATCAATTGTATTTGTGTCTTCTTTTATAGTTGTTACTTTCTCAACTTTGATTGTTTGGAGTTCAATTTCTTCTATTTTTGATGTGGTTGCTTCATTGGCGTTTATTTCTTCAATAAGCTTGCACTTTTTGTTGACTTGTTTAGCTAAAATGAAGAATTATTACAAATTTACTTAATAAAAAACGTAGAATACCCTTGGGTGTGAAATCGAAGATCCTATCTTTATATTCTTCGATATCTTCAGTGGTTTGTCGATCTTCCATGAAATTTTCTTTATTCAAAGAAGACTCAGAATCACTGGAAGAAGATTCATCATCTTCACTATTATCACCATCTCTTCCATAGTGATACGTAGGTGACTCAGCCCTTTCTTCAATTTCAGATATTGAATCTTCTTCAGTGTTAAGCGACATTCTTCTGTTTTCTTCAAATTCGCTTCCAGAGTCTGCGCACGAGGTACCAAAACCGCTATCGGGTGTGCGCTCAGAATTTCTTCTTTCCCGTAGATTAATCAAGGCTACAAAAGCGAGTATGTTCATTTATAACGAGCATATAATCCGTTACAACGAGCAACCCGAAAAAAAGTTTCGCCTTTGTTTTTATTGCGTTGTTACGGTTATAACCGATGTTTGAAAAATAAAATGTTACCGTCAACGCTGGCCATGATTTTGGCGCGTTCCCTATTTATCCAGCGTTGCCGTTCTGCTGTTTCTTCGGCCATGCCGCCGAGTTTCCTGTAAAAATAGCATAAGTACCGTTTTTTAGTTTTTTTGTTTTGGGACTTACCAGGCTTCGGCACATGCGCGATCTCGGGGAAAAACTGGTCTATCGTCCAGGTAGTGAAGATTTTTCTAAAAAAAAATTATACAAGAAAATAGGTAATATTTTTTTAAATTTATTAATAGAAAAATTCTCACGCAGGCTAGTATCATAGTTTTTCTATAGGCAGGTATTTTTCTGATGACGGGGTTTCCCATCAAATTTAATACACGCAGTTCGGGCATTTTTGCCAAAGTTTCAACTATAAGTGCATCTTCAACATAATTGTTGGATAAATCGAGAACGGTCAAAACTTTTAACTTTTCCAAATGCGCAAAATCATTGTGATTTTCCACGTAGTTATGAGACATGTTTAGAGTGTGAATTTGGATGTTTTCTGAAACAAAATATTTTACTTGTATATGTACCTACATATAGTAAAAATATAAGCATTCATACAGTAAAAATTACGCAAAGTGCACTTTGCACAGAAATAATAAAGTTTGGACATGTATTTTTCAAAAAAAAAAATGCAAAAATCCTTTAAAATTAAGTTGTTTAGTAATTAAGTTTATAAATGCATTTTATTCTACAAATTTTAACTTATGCATCTGGTTTACTTAGGTATGCTGTGGGCAGTGCAGTTATGAACATAAAAATATATATTTTTTAATAATTTGCAAAAACCGAGTTTTGCATCTAATGTACTCATATATGAGTACATGAGATGCACAACTCTGTATTTACAGAATAAGTAATTTTAAGAAAAACATGAAAAACCGCTCATAAGATCATTTTTGAAAAAAAATGCAAAAATTGTATAGACGTGCTTTTGCAACATTTTTATTCAAAAAAGTAAAAAAAAAATCCTTTAAAATTAGGTATTTTAGTAAATAATTGTAATCAAAATATTTAAAAACATAGTTTTGCATCTTCTTCCTTTAAAGACCAAGTTTTGCAAGTAAAAAATGCAAATGCCAAAAAATAACAATTAATCAGGTGATTGTTATGTCGTCACGTAATGCGTATACTAGCGACGTGATTGGTCAACAGCAAATACCGAGTTTTGCATCTAGTCCGGGAGGCAGTGAAGATTTTCGGTACTTATTTTCCCAGTTTGTGAATGTCATTAAGTTTGTTCAAATGGTGACACAAAACGACAATTTGTGTGTCTGGCTAAAATTTTCGGATGGGTTCACTAGATGAGCCAAAAAGTCAAGTCCACTTATTTTCCCAGTCATAAATATTTCACATTAATTAAAGTGAGTCATTTTATTAATGGAAATAACAGTCTGGCACATCCCAAGTGAAGGAAAGTCAGTCTGGCTGAAAATTTGCGGAAGCAAAAATTTGACCGGTTTTTGAAATACGTAGCCCTTATTTTCCCATGCTTAAAATTTAACTCATTATTTGGTACTGTCATAAACTATAATCAAAATTAAGTCTGGCTGATTTATGAAATTGGCAAATTGTTCTGGCGGCATCTTGAAAATCGTAAGAATTACAAAAATTTTGCTCTTATTTTCCCGGATTTGAAAATTTGTCACATGATAAATAATACTATAATTTCGTAGAAAATACACGTCTGGCTGTTATTTACAATCACGAAAGCCCCGCCAGACTCACAAGTCAGATAGCAGAAACTCGCGTTTGAATGGGAATTTTCGCGATTTTCTTTTTTTGTATTGATATAACTCAAAAACTAAGGGAGATACAAAAGACTGTCAAGAGATCGATTTTGTAGATAATCCTACAAAAAACAACTGCACAAATTTTCTCGTATCTCTGATAGTTACAAAGTTATTCGCGAATAAAGTTTTTTGGTGGCGGACGGACTGACATTTTTTTTAGCCATATTTAAATTTTGCTTTACACAAATTATTTTCTTATTATACATTATGAAAAGTAAAAACATGTAGAGATGACAACAATCGCCTGTATAATTGAACATGCCGAATTTAGCGCGCCTGTGGAGGGTTGGACGAGTCTGGCAAGGCTTTCGGAGTGTTCCACATTAGCCAGACTATATTTGCAGCTGTAATAATAATATAAACTATCATCTCACAAAATTTTTAGGACTGCGAAAATAAGGGCAACGGTTTTGATAATTTTTCCACCTGCCAGACATATTACCCATACTCACAGATTAGCCAGACAATTTTTTTTCTTAAGTTCACTATATCTCTCACTAATGGAATTATTTTTATCACTGGAAAAAAAAGTGCAATATATTTGTACTTTATAACGCATTTTCCGCCTTAACCCATCGGAAAACCCCCCCTAAATATATATAAATTTTGCTCAGAATAACAAACCCAATAATTGTATCGGTGTTTGCCGACTGGGAAAATAAGTACCGAAAATCTTCACTGCCTCCCGGACTAATCCGACAGGAAGAAACAAATACCCAGTTTTGCATCTGCGTTAATTAATGCATTTTAAATGTATTTTATTCTACAAATACTAATGTATACATCTGGTTTACTTAGGTATGCTGTAGGCAATGCAGTAATGTACAGGGTGATCCCCTATAATGTCGCCCCCCTTTAACTTTTTTATTTTAAGTTTCCCAAAAAATTTAAAAGTGTGGTTATGTAGGAACTAAAAAATACTTTTTGTCTACGTATAAAGAAAATTGGAAAATTGATCAGTATACAGGAAAAAACAAAAAGTTTATTTTTTTCCAATGGATCACCCTATATATGTATTTTTCGATTCCTTGCATATTTTATATATCATACCATTTGCCTAAATTCAACCGTTTCTGAAATATTTAAATTATTTTTAAGATAATAAGTTGAAATAGTTTGTGTTTCTCTGTCTGAGTACGCCATTTTTACTTATTAAACAAGACATATTGACATAATGTCACTATAGTAATTAATTTTCAATAAAAATTTTGCTATACTGAGGCTTCTTGATTTTTAACAGTTTAAAAAAAATAATGATAACATTTTGAATGAGAATATTTCAGAAACGGTTGAATTTAGGTATATTGTTTGTTATATGAATTATACTCAGAATTTTACAAGGAATCGATAAATAAATTCATATATAGGGTGATCCATTGAAAAAATATAAACTTTTTGTTTTTCCCTGTATATTGACCAATTTTCCATTTTTTTTATACGTAGAAAAAAAGTATTTTTAGTACCTACATAACCACACTTTTAAATTTTTTGGGACACATCAAATAAAAAAAGTTAAAGGGGGCGACATTATAGGGGATCACCCTGTACATAAATAGGATAAAATATATATTTTTAAAAATTTGCAAAAACCGAGTTCCGCATCTAATGTACTCATATATGAGAAAAATTTATGTAATTTTACACAACTTTCACACTAACTGAAGTTGTAAAAAATTACAAATTTTTGGTAAAAGTACATATTTTTGTGTTTTTAAGAAGATATATGTGTGAAATTAGATAAATAATGTAAATTTACATATTCTTATAAAAGTACATAACATATAATGTGAATTTTATAAAATTTTAAAATTAATATTTACATTAAAAAGTAAATTCTACATAAAAATATTAAAATTACATTATTATAGGTAACCTTTACACATTTCATGTAAATATTAACCAATAGGATTTGAGTTGCGGCACACGCATATGTAAACGAAACGAACATTTTGTTGGCTGAGTTAGGACGCGTCGTGTAGTGTTTATAGTTGTTTTTTCGTATTATTTGGTAAGTATATTAATTATAAATAAGGAGCATAAAAGGAGAAACTAGAATGCCATCAATAAAATGAGATTTTCCCAATATTAATTGATATATTTTACTTAATTTTATTTAAAGAATTGCCTATTCATAAGTTATACTATTTTATTTAAATAAGTTTAATTCCAATACTAGTATATTAAACATCTATCCAGTAAAAACAAAATATTTGGTGCTTTGATGTGAAGTGGTAAAAATGCACGTGTTTACAAATTAATATCTAGTTTAAGCAATAATTTTAAAGAAATATTTTATTATAGGCTAATTTTACTTTTTTTTCAGATCCAAATATTTTTTATTGAATAAATATTAGTTATTAGAACAAATAATAATAGGTTAGATTTTAGATTAAATAGGTAGGTATAGTGGTATTAATATCTCATGGCGGGTGACCTTGGGTGCAACGTCACAAATCCGTCAAATCGCGCTATTACTCGCCGTCCTAAAAACATACTACCCCAGGGTTGGCAATGCTAGCATCAGCTGATATTTATTTACATTTAAACATTTATAGGCTAGAAATTCTATTATATTTGTTATATCATATTTGTCATATCATACTTGTTATAACTAATATTATATTAAATTTTGTTATAATATTATATTTGTTATATTTGTTCTATTATTATATTTGTTATACGAAATGAATAACGGCAAAAAAGAAGTCATTCACAGCCAAGGACGGAAGATCGTCTACAACGTTCTCCAATATTTGAAACGCGAGTTGAAACGTGAAGAAGATGGTGAAGATCCTGTTATACCTCTTAGCCATTTACAGCAAAATTCGGATTATACACAGATTCCATTCTTTTTTTTACTGAAATCCATTATATATTTTACAGATCATTGCTCAACAATTGAAGACCTTGCTGCAAAAAGGGGGTAACTTTTACAAAAGTGACTTTTACACCCTTACAACTGTGAACTAGACTATTCTATATTGCATTGTTTAATGCAAAGATGACTCAAAAATAACTTTTATGGAGTTACCTTCTTTTTGCAGCAGGGTCTTCAATTGCAGTCATTACCGGTAGGCCTAATGTTACAATATATTTCATAAAATAAAGAAAAAACGCTTTACTATATTAGTTGACAGATGACAGATTTGGGAAGCATCCATAGTCTATGGACCATAGACATTTAAGTTAACTTAAAGGTCTATGGAAGTGGCGGATGTTTTTAGTTTCCATTTATTTATTAAATTGAATGGCGTCTGTCAGCGTCTCTCAAGGTCACCCGCCATGAGATATTAATACCACTATATGTCTTCGCAACATACCCAAAATCTAATGTTTCCACTCCACCGCTTGAGTCAGTATGAGAAAGGTTGTTACTATGCATGTATAAAATGTTTTAATCATTTGCCAAAATGCCTTCAGATTGAAACAAAATTGTCAATATTTAAAAAAAAGCTTAAAGATTTGTTAATAAATAATATTTATTTATTTATTAACTATAGAACCATATAGTTTAGAAGAATTTCAAAATAGATCAATGAATAATAGATACAATTATTAGTTTATAAACTTATAAAGGATAAATGCATTAATATATTAATGCATTTATCCTTTGCTTTTGACATTTTTTTTCCATAATTGTATAGGTGTGTAAACTGTAAACAATTATTTGAAAATAAATTAATATTATTATTATTAATATTATTAA